GGGGGGGGGGGGCATATGTGGGGCATTTGATCATTAATTGCATCTCCACCCTAGGGATTTTGATTAGCCATAGTTAACTATGGATTAGCATTTGGGCCCATTAGTTAGGGCAATTTGAACCAAAATGACTTAATATAGTATTTATTGCAATTTATTGCACAACGGTATAGGTATTTGACCAATATTTATTGCCCAACAGTGGGGCATTTGATTGAAAATTTTATCAAAAAATCAAATGCCCCACATATGTCCGACCTCCCTCTCTGGGGCTTAACATTGATAGGTGCATAAGAACCACCGTTTCTCAAACTTTATCTGAATTAGTTGTGTAACAGCATTTATACAAAATACTGTTAAAAAAGGCCAAGTGGACCTTCACTGCTATAAAGGGCATTCTATCCAATGGCATTATAGGACCAACATGTCCATGGCGTTGTTCTCCAAAGCATTGAGCAGCGTTATAAATCAGATTGTCTTTTTTACCAGCATGAAGTACAGACATAGCCTTGGCAACAAGTGGGATGAGGGACAAATTTAGCATCTAAACCAGGCCGGATTAAGTTTTACCAGCCATTTTTGAAACAGGTGGATGAGTAGTTGTTCTTGTTGTCGCTGGGTTAGTTTTGAAAATCCAGAAGTCATGATGTCAAGTCATCATATCAGTAACATTACCAGAGAGGTGAACAAGTTTAGAACTCCAAATTTAATGATGATACTTAATTCTTGCAGACGAAATCATTGACAAAAATAGAATCCACTAGCCAAAATCACGAATCTCAAATCTAAAACATCAGCCAAACAATGAATTTCACCAGCAAAATATTGTTACAGAAGTGCTTTAATTATTTACATACTTTAACCAATATATATAAATCCATAATATGTCGAAACTACTATAGTATATCAAATTTCTTTAGAAAAAAGCTAGTAATAGCAGTTCATTATCGATCTGAGTGACAGGGCAGCATATTTTACAAAGAGCTATATTCAACGGTGAATATCTCGAAAACGGTTGAGAGGCCGAGGGGGGCCGGCTGGATAGAATTAAAGATTATACTTTTATTTAACTAATCGTGAAAAAATGGCGAAAACGAACCATGGAGATTTGAGATTTTTGTCTTCAAAGATTGTTGACAGAAACGCCATTAAATTACATCGCTACGGCATAGCGCCTAATTGAGAGGTCAAAATAAACTGGAAAATGACGCTTACCTTTTAAGATACCGTTCCAATGGGTAGATTGACTGTTGTAAAAGTATGGGGTGCCATATCCGCCAAAATTATATAAACACCATATTATTTTTCGCATTATTATTCAGCTTATTTTTATTATTACTCAGCTTATTTTTATTATTATTCAGCTTATTTTTGTTATTATTCAGCTGATTTTTATTATTATTCAGCTGATTTTGTATTATTCAGCATATTTTTATTATTATTCAGGATATTTTTTAGCCCGCGTGCAGGCCCAAGCAACTGATAGTGGGCCTGCAAGCAAGGCCCTGTATTTTGTAAACGCCCCTTTCATAACACGCCCCATTCGCGCGTCAATTGTCAAAAAAGAACCAATGACAGCACCCAAATATTAACAAACAAACTCGCATTAAAATGTTGCGGGCATTTCTCTGCTTATTCAGAACATAAACAATGTCTAAATGGCTGCGTTTTAACTCCAAAAAAGCAAGCAACGCCGTCAGTAATTGCCAAATTTGCCGGTGCTCATTTTCAACTAAAATCGGAACAGGCAAATTAAGACGAATTTCAACAGAAAACCAGTCTCAAACTTCAAATCGTGAGGGAATTCGTGCGACCACATCAGCATTTATAATGTGTGCTGCGCTGTCGCCATCGTGTGTGCAATTCTTGTTGGCGGCGGAAAGTACGAAATTTATATATGTTATTTACCGGCTGCGAGGTCCGGATGAGAAAAACTGTGCCCGAGGTCTTGAAAACGGCCCGGGCCCGAAGGGCGAGGGACGTTTTCAAGACCGAGGGCACAGTTTTTCTCATCCGGACCGACGCTGCCGGTAAATAACGTGTTTATTTTTTATCAGATGTAAAAATTAAATTGATTAAAATTCCAGTGTTGCTTGCGAACTAATTTGAGATCAGTGCAGTTGTGTATTTTCAAAGCGAGGCTGACAAAAATTGAAAAGTTAAAAGATATAAAACACGAATACGAAAACTCGAGAAAACTGCCAAGAAACACACAAAAAGACGTATAGTTTCAGTAAAAATGTACATGCTTTTTCATGAATATGGTAGCAGAGAACTGAGAGAAGCTTTGGAATAAAATCTTTTTTTTGCTGGCGTTTTGGCTTTGACAAGTTGCTCCTGACAACGACAGCTTCGTGTTCAGATCCGATCAAAAACATATAAAAATAAATCTGTTTTGTTTTGATTTAATTTAATTAACGTTTTTCTACTAAAAAGACAATGAAAAAGGTATGTTATTTTTATATTTTTGTATCTTTTCTTGTCGTTTCACGATAATATGCTTGAAAAAAGTGTTTTTAAACACAAACTTTTACTTTGTTTACAATATTTATATCAGCGAAAAAAAATGACACAAATGGGTAGAGAATATATTCGTGAGTTGTTTTCACTGCTGCAGTTAAACCTTCTTTTAAATGGGTAAACATTTATTTTACAATATCTGTTTAAGCTGTAATTTTTTCGCTTTTAAGTGGCCGAATACATGAGCGTTTAAAAAATATATAGTTTCCTCGACGTAATTTTTATACATGTCAACTACTTTCCGACTTTCAGTCGCATTTCAATCAAAGTATTTCCAATTCTCCTGAACATCGTGCTTAGTATGAAGCCTTTAGGGCTTGGTGCATTCATTTTTGTATTCTGACTATCGTTAGGCTATGTTTTTCAAACGTTTTTGGCAGATTTTTTCGTTTAAAAATTGTTTCACTCCTCAGTTTTTGCGAAAACCAGAGCGGGCAGTTGCATTTCACAGCGGGCAGTTGCGTTTCAGAGCGGGCCGGATGCAAAAAACCGGCCCGCTCTGAAGGGCTCCTCAGCCAATCAGATTGCTTCATTTTCACTGATAAAAGTAAATTTCAGTTATTTCATTTGGTGAGAACTCTACAAAAGAAGAGAGCATTCACAGTCCAGATCGTTTCGTTTCAAACGGCAATTTAATACCGTCTTCTGTTTTGCTCTCTCAGCGAAGCCTTGTAAATCGCAAAGTATTTTGAATAGGCTTACATGCAACTGCATCTCAACATCAACCAAAAGATAATTTTCTTGAGGAACATATAACGTATCAAGTCTGTTTGAAATGAATGAAGCTCAAGTAAAGGTTACTATAGTTTACCCCAGTCGTATTAAATGTTGCTATTCCAACACCTCATGCACGACAAGCAATCCTCATTGGCATAACGGCAAAAACATCTCTTCCTTCAAGTAAACAATAAACAGTCTGTTCTTGTTCCATTTGTAATCGAAAAAAGTGATCAATTTTCGAATTTTAAGCTTATCGAGCTAGCCTTTGTCTATGCCTTTGTGATGAATCACTGACCTAATTATAGAATCCAACAGCAAATAGCCAATCAGAATGCCGCGTTCGTGGGCGAACGCGGAAAGTACAAAATACCGGGCCTTGCTTGCAGGCCCACTATCAGTTCCCTTGGGCCTGCACGCGGACTACATATTTTTATTATTATTCAGCATATTTTTATTATTATTCAACATATTTTTATTATTATTCAGCTTATTTTTATTATTATTCAGCTGATTTTGTATTATTCAGCATATTTTTATTATTATTCAGCATATTTTTATTATTATTCAACATATTTTTATTATTATTCAGCTTATTTTTATTATTCAGCGCTTATTTTTAATATTCAGCTCATATTTATTATTCAGCTTATTTTTATTATTCAGCTTATTTTTAATATTCAGCTTATTTTTATTATTCAGCACCAATTTTTCATTAGCCAGAGGTCTGTGACTAGCGCGGTCATTTGGACCGGAAGTCATTGAAAATTCACTTTTCAGCATAAATATATGTTGACATGTGTTCAGTATTCACAGCTTCGCATGAATTTTATTATACTAATTTTTATTCAAAAAACGTTTATTTAAATGGCCAAAGAACCAGCTCTGGCCGAAGCTGCACGTCTATTGTCACAAGCGGCATCTAGCCTTATAAATCAAAGCTCACAGCCTTCAACAAGTAGAAGTACAGAATATTCAGCAGTCACCAATCAGGCGGAGACAAACAACAGGCCGGCGAGAGCGAGGGATGTTTGCTGTTTGCAACGTATAATCAAGCAAATGCGTCCACCTCTCGTTCCGTTCCATTGAATGGCAATATACCCCAACGAAGAGCATCTACAAATCATCATGCAAAAGCACTGAAAAGACGAAAATCAGTGAAAGAAATATCAATAAAGTTTTTCTGTCTTGCGAGCACCACCCAGCGAGATGTTCCGAATAATGATGAAAAGCAACAGTTGCTCGTCGCTGGACTTGGCGAAAAGAAGGTAACCCTACAAGCAGACTCAACTTCGTCTGATGTTGTGGCTGCACTAAAGGAAACATACCCAAAGTTGACCGATGGTGGTGGATATGAATTTATGTACGCAAAAGCCAGTTCTCGTCAGCTTTCCGTTATAGATGAGGGAGAAAATGGGTATACCATTGAGTTTCTCAAACAGTTTGTCGGACAAGGACGAGTATATATTCGCCCAATACATTGCGATCTTGACTTAAAAGCTATGGTTAAAGCCAAAGATCAAGGAGAAATCATAGAAGAAATCTGTAATCATTGTATGAATATATTCCCCTTGAATAAGTTGAGGGAACATCTTTACTTATGTCCTGAAAATAATACGGCAACAACGGCAACTACCTCGAGAAATACCAGGTAGGCTTACACTACAGATTAAGGATAAACAGCTCTTATCCATGAGTCAATTCCATGAGTAACCATGCCCCCCCCCCTGTAATATACCTGGACATTAGCAATTTTTTGGGAGGAAAAAGGCAAATCCCTTGCTCGCTGGGAGACACCAGGAGGGAAATG